TTTCTAAACCGAATTATATGGTTTATGGTGAAACAGGACGTTTTCCATTATCTGTCCTTATTTATTCAAGAATAGTCTCATACTGGTGTAAATTATTGAATAGCACAGATAAGAAAATTTCATGTATATTGTATCAATTTTTAATTACTAACTCACAATCTGAAATTGGTAAGAATCCTTGGATTGACTGTGTTAATCGTATTTTTGAATCATGTGGACTTTCTTATATCTGGAATGAACAGTTTTATTATAATCCTAATCAAGACTGGGTTACTACTGTTGTTAAACAAAGATTACAAGATCAATTTATACAAAAATGGCATTCTGATATTAATAGTTCTTCCAAAGGTACTTTGTACAAAATTTTTAAAACAAATTTTGAGTGTGAAAAGTATTTAAGTATTCTGTCATTAAAATTTAGGAAAATACTTGCCAAATTCTGTACTACTAATCACCATCTACCAGTTGAGCTGGGAAGATGGGCATCATTACCATTAAGTGAAAGATTATGTACACATTGTAATGCTAAAGAAGTTGCTGATGAATTTCATTTTATGCTTGAATTTACTGCACTGTCAAACATAAGGAAAAAGTATATTAATGAATACTACTTTACTAGACCAAATGTTCTTAAATTTTCTCAACTGATGACAAAACAAGATGCTATGACACTTAAAAAACTCTGTACGTTTATATTAAAAATATATGATTTAGTCTGTCCTCCATAATTGTTTTCCTCACATTTCATTATTACGTGTTTTTTCCTCCCTTTTTCCATTTTTTTTCTCTTCATTTTCTTATCCACTTCATTGTCTTATTATGTATATCATATACTTATACCTCTGACCAGAATGTATATATGCTGTAAATATTTTTCATTGTCCTCATGTACCATATACTTTAAATGGTTTGAGAGAATAAATGAACTTGAACTTGAACTTAAACGCTGGTAGATATTCAGCTGATTTTAGTGTGAGTGTATTGTGATGAACTAAAGAAAAAGAAGTTTTTATTTTGTTCCGCTTTTCTTAATGGTTTTTTCTCTTTTTTCTAAACGCTTGCAGATATTGAACAGACTTCTGGTATGTAAATTTACCTTGATAGATAAAGTTTGCATTTTTCCTGCTTCGATAATTTTTAATGAAATACGGCATTTTCATTTTTAAATTGAAACTAGATTACGCTCACCAGTAGGGGGGACTAGTAACTGTATTGCTACTGCAATACTCTCAGAAAGCTTGTTTTTTTTTCAAAATATTCTAAAAAAGTAAAAAAAAAAAATGCTCATCGACTTGGAAATTCGTCTCAAACCATTAAGTGTTATTTACTTATCTTGGATAGGCAACAGCAACAACAACAACAACAACAACAAAAAACATGCAGTTGGTTGAGAAATAATTTCTAAAATTAAATTATGGTGTGAATAAATAAAATGTTCCTTTTTATTTTGTATCATGGCTACGGTGTTTTTCCTTTGAGGTAAAGTGTACAATAACTGGAGATACACCGATGGGCGGAGCCAGCAAAAACTGTGCCGTGTAAATAAATTATTGAACACTTACGCGATTTCATCATTTTAAATCGCATGTATATTGAATCTGAATTACAGAATGAAATGGGCTATAATACAAAGGCTAAATTTCTGCAAGTGAAATAAAAGTCTTTTACATAAATTACAGTGCGTATCCCAAACTACTAAATGCTTTTACGGAACTCTGCAAATATTCAATCCTCCACAACGAGAAATCAAGTTCTTGACACGAATTTCACACTGAATTATATTAAATATCACACCTTTTGTAATAAACCGCTTTAGCAAAAAAAAAAAAAAAAACCATATTTGCCGTGTTTTTTGCTCAACGAGAATAAGTGCAGATGTACTGTATCCACAGACGAAGACCCTGACACAGGCTTTTAGTGAACGCGACAGCTCTCAAATATGTCAAATGATCAACGGGTACATTTTTTCTGGATTTTTGAATAACATCTGAGTTTTCCTTCTTAACTTCGATTTTTTTCCTGTTTGATATCCAAAGGTTTTCTTGTGATATTCATTAAAAAAAATCCGTGCTTAAATTACGACGGGATGCTGCAATCCGACGTCCTTTCTCATGAACACACACACGCAAAATGAGTTTATTAAAAATACTGGCAGGAAGGAGAGATTATCCATGCGGTCACCTGACAAAAACTACATTTTCTATTGGTGTAATTAAAAATCATGCATATTATTTGTGATATGACGTTTGATTGGCCATGATACAAGAAAGTTATTGAATATTTATTATGGTGTATCCTGTATTTATTTGGACGAAGGGCGGAGACTCGTGCTTCGCACTCGTCACCGCCCTTCGCCCAAATAACTCAGGATACACCATAATAGATATACAATAACTATTACTTTCATTAAAAAAACCCATTACTATAATTTACGGTGTAAAAATCGCTAAATATATATATATTAAAGTCATTTAAGATATTTCAAATTCAATCTTGTAAGCATTTTGGGAGTTTGCATTAGCAATACTAGTCCCCTACCTGCAAGTGTAATCTGGTTCCCATTAAATATGGCATGGGTTCAACTTCTTTCAGTACTAATATTCTAAAAATTTTCTTACCATTAAATAAAAAGCTTCTTCTCAAGAACCACTGGGTCAGAAAAGCTGAAACTTGTGTGGAGGCATCCTGGGACAGTGTACGTTCTATATTATTCGAACCATTTACAAACCGTGAACTATAGCTAACGATTCGTTAAGTATAGTTTTCATTTGTAAAACTATATTTAACGGTTGTTAACTATAGTTTACGAATGCTAATCTAAATTTATCTGTCTTTAATAAAACGTTAACAATTAATAGATTTTGTTGATAATCATAGATTCACGTCTGTAAACTATAATTTACGATCGTTAACTATAGTTAACAGTTGTAAACCATAGTTTACAAATCGTGAAACTGTATTTATCAGAAAATCTATGTTTTGCGATCGCAAATGATAGTTTTCTGTGTTAAGTATAGTTTACGGTTGTGAAATATAGATTATCGCGTTTACAGATGTAAAATATAGATCAACGTTGTTAACTATAGTTTACATTCCGTAAACTATAGTTTACAACCGATAAACCTAGTTTATCGAATTTGAAACTATGATTATCCCATTTTTGTGAATTTGGCGTGCTAAACATAGTTTCACAATTGATAAACTAGGTTGATCGACTGTAAACTATAGTTTACAAACCATGAACTAAAGTTAACAATTCGTTAAGTATAGTTTTCATCTGTAAAACTATATTTAACCTGTAAACTATATTTTACGAATGTTAATTTAAGTTTATCTGTCTGTGATAATTTGTTATAACAATAGATTTTGTTGATAAACATAGATTCACGTCTGTAAACTATAGTTTACGATTGTTAACTATAGTTAAGAGTTGTAAACCATAGTTTACAAATCGTGAAACTGTATTTATCAGATAATCTATGTTTTGCACTCGCAAATGATAGTTTTCGGTGTTAAGTATAGCTTACGGTTGTAAAACATACGGATTATCGCGTTAACAATGATTTACAGATGTAAAATATAGATTAACATTGTTAACTATAGTTTACAGTCCGTAAACTATAGTTTACAACCGATAAACCTAGTTTATCTATGGTGAAACTATGATTAGCTCATTTTTGTGAATTTGGCGTGCCATAAAAATAGGTACGTGTATTACATGGGAGAAATCTGGTGCAGAACAGTATGGCCAATGTTACCGAGGTGAGCGTTATGGCGCATGGTCCTCTTGTTTCTAAACGCTTGTAGATATTCAGCTGATTTTAGTGTGTGAGTGTATTGTGATGAACAAAAGAAAAAGTTTTTATTTTGTTCCGCTTTTCTTAATGGTTTTTCTTTTTTTTTCTAAACGCTTGCAGATATTGAACTGTCTTCTGGTATGTAAATTTACCTTGATAGATAAAGTTTGCATTTTTCCTGCTTCGATAATTTTTAATGAAATACGGCATTTTCATTTTTAAATTGAAACTAGATTACGCTCATCAGTAGGGGGACTAGTAACTGTATTGCTACTGCAATACTCTCAGAAAGCTTGTTTTTTTTCAAAATAATCTAAAAAAAGTAAAAAAAAAAGATGCTCATCGACTTGGAAATTCGTCTCAAACCATTAAGTGTTATTTACTTATCTTGGATAGGCAACAACAACAACAACAAAAAAAACATGCAGTTGGTTGAGAAATAATTTCTAAAGTTAAATTATGGTGTGAATAAATAAAATGTTCCTTTTTATTTTTCATTAAAAAAAACCCATTACTATAATTTACGGTGTAAAAATCGCCAAAAATATATATATTAAAGTCATTTAAGATATTTCAAATTCAATCTTGTAAGCATTTTGGGAGTTTGCATTAGCAATACTAGTTCCCTACCTGCAAGTGTAATCTGGTTCCCATTATATGGCATGGGTTCAACTTCTTTCAGTACTAATATTCTAAACATATTCTTCCTAATATACATTAGCCTTATTTGAACCTCACTTTTGTAAAAAATGTGGGGGGCAACCAGCCTCTCAATGAACCTTAATTTTCAAAAGTGAATAGTTATGTCTGGAAAAAAGGAGAGCAGCCCCCCCCCCCCCATTGCTCATGTCATGCCTGCTGACAATAGGGCATGCTTTCAAGATTATGGATATCAATCTGATTGAATTAGAACATATGTACATGTACATGTATACCTTTCTCTAGGATAATTTGATTCAGGGGGCAAATGACAGTCATTACAGCCCTCTCCTACATACATACTTTCTATACCATTATGAATATGCAACCTTTTTTAAAAACAAACTTAATAGGAACATCTTCTGTTGTTCTAAAACATTCATAATATTCTCTTAATCTAAATTGATGTTGGTTTACAGGACTGGTTTACAGAACCACAGAATACATGTACATGAACAGAATCATAAAAATTACTGGGTACAGAGTTAGACATGCATTTTCTACAAAATTTTATTTCGACAAAAATGACTGGTGAAAGCAAAGAAATATTTATGAGACAAATGAATTTACTCCATACAACATAAAGATCCTTAGGTTAGCTAGAATTTGCTTCATGTGGAGAAATTGATTCTGATGAAAAAGCTGTCAAAGTCTGAGGTTGCGTAATGTCTGTCCTGCCAGCAGAACTAATCTGGGTTGGCAAATGATCACCGGATTTGCCTTTCGTGCTTACAGGAAGTTTGCTTATAGACCTTCCAGAAGGAGAAGACTGAGAATTTGTAGTACGTGGCACATTAACCACATGTTTACTAACAGTATCCTCCATAGAAGATTCAATGTCTGACTCAGAACAAGGAATAGGAGATTTGACCTCAGTAGTTTCTACCACTAAAAGAGTATCACCATCACCCGATTCCTGGAAGATTTGTGTTGTGTATTGGCTGCTAGATCCTATGGCGGCCTTTGGAACAGTGGCTGCTGGGACTGTTGGATATGGCGCATCAGGTACATTTATTGATGCTGAGTATTCTATGGCAGTTTTCTGAAGTCTTTCAAAGTGATTCATTCTGGCTTTAAACTCTTCTTCCCTTGACTGAAGTGTTTGTTGCATTGTTTGCATCTATAAAAAAATATATGTGACAATGAAATGATGTTTACACAGAACATTTGTAACATTACATTTTTTGCATATGACTATATTATCACTTAACATATCATTTCATTCATTTTTGAGACAATTTTTATTACCTTCCATAAGACACATACCAGAAACATACACTGTAATTTTAAAAGTTCTTCCAAATAAAATGTGATTTTCTGTACTTGTCTTAATTTTATTAGCATAATATTCTATCTTATAATTAATTAAAACATACTATATAGTAATATATTAACTATACTAATATACAAGTAAAATTCAGTATAACCTGTTCCATCAACTTTTTAGTGTTTTCTTCAATGGCCAGTTGACTAGAGGCACTTCCAGTGATCCCATGATATGGAGAAGGCTCGATGGAAAGGAAGAAAGGTAACTTAATGCTGTAGCCGAAGATCATGAAAAGGAACAGAAATAGAAACACTACCACCATGATCATGGCTACTGGGTACAAGGTGACTGGTAGATCAATCAGGAGTTCTCTTATGAATGTGCTTAGAGCAGCTCCTACGTCCTTAAGGGGTGAAAGGAAGAAACGGACAAATGTGACACCCACTGCCTGTAAAAGATATGAAAGAGAATTTAGAGATAAGAATACTTGTATAAGGAATATAATGAAAATAATACTGTACATGTAGATATAAACTGACATTTTCAAAATTTAGAGCAATCACTAGGTGTTAAGTACTAAATGTAATCATGAATAAGCGCTTCACACGCTCATGCCTTGTATTGTAATGATTAATGATTTATGAATGATATTCATGACTAAGTGCAGCTCTGTCCCCGCCAAAGCCACTAAAATATGAAGCTTACTTTATACAATACACATTCAGTACATGTACCTATATACATCTAATTATCCTGTTTGCTTACTAGAAAGTTTTTTTTGGGAGGGGTGAAAAGAATACTGTAGACATACTTTTTTCCACAGGGTCATAATTCCGCGTAATCTCAAATTCTGTTTAATCCGCAGGTAGAAAATTACGCGGATTTTCTAGATTGTCACTATATGCCTTACATTTATATTAAGTAAGCTTGGACAAATTTCCTCGGGAAATTTGTGACCATGTACATAGCGTAAATTAATACCACGTGGAAAAAAAGTACTTCTACAGTACCTGTATCTTTAAAATACATACTACAATTTCTTGGAATTTTTTACAGTTTGGACCAGCAAAGTTAACATCTCTGAAAATTTCTACTTATCTGCAATATCATGGCAATTAAGTAGTAAGACATTTTTGTTTAAGTGATTTTGTTTGAACAGCAAAAATTCAAAAACCCTTAAATATCAATCTGCTGTGCCCTAAATTCAAGCAAGCACACATCTATACCTGTACATTACCTTCGTGGGTGGGACCTTGACAATGGGGTCAATCATCATGTGTTCATAATACTTCTGACATTTGTCCTCCTTTAGGGTAAACATGGAGGTGACAATATGGGATGCTGCTCCGAGCCAGTTATCACTGATGGAGTCATTCTTCACACACTCCGCTGGGACATCCTTCATAGCCACAGTCTGCTGTTTGATTTGTTCTGCCTAGGGAATAAATAAAAAACTTGAACATCAGTATCTCAAATGTTGATATCTTGAATACTATGGAAATGTCAGAGTGAGTTTGAAGCTGAAACCACTTTTTTTATCATCAGTATCTCAAATGTTGATCTCTTGAATATGATGGAAATGTTAAAGCGAGTTTGAAGTTTGAAGACCAAACCATTTGTACTATAGGTATTTTCATCTCAATATTTTTTTTGGGGGGAGGGGGGGAGAGGAGCTGGATATTTTTTCTGGTTTTTTTTTTTCCTCTGTCAGTCTAATGGATTTTGAGATAAACAGGTTTTACTGCATAAAACAAATCAGAAAATAGATGAGGGACTCATAAAGACTCAGTAGGTGCAAACAATTACCTTATAGAGTTCAAACCAGGTCATTGGGATGCTGACAATGAAAGCTAGAACTATCAACTTCATAAATCTTTGTCTCCATGACATCTGTAGCTTCATTTCCAGCGTTGCAAATACTGAGGCCATTAAAAGAACTGCAACCATCTGAAATTTTTTTTACATTAAAAAGGCTTGTAGAACTATTCTAGAATAGTAACTGTATACTGTAAACCAACTTTTATTCATGTGCGAAAAATTTTCGCGAAGTTCGCGACAACCTCGTCATATCGCAAATGTTTCTCGCCTCGAACCGACACTTAAAGTCTCTCTGTCTATTTACAATACATCAAAAAAGGCCTGATAGCGAAAATTAATCGTCACCAACTAGTTTGCCCCTGGTAAATCCCAAAATAAAGTTGTCGCGAATAAAAGTTGGTTTACAGTATTCCTTATCTTATGCAGGTAGATCTTTATATCACAAAATGACTTGTGTCAAATATTGAGAACATGAAAATTTTTTAATACTTTTTTTCCACAACCATTTATACCAGCAATATAAAAATAAGCAGGTAATTTTATGCCACAAGTGGTGCTTCTCATGAAATTAAGATGTATAAAAAGTCCTCATATATACATAGTATTTAGCAAACTAAATTAACTTTAACTTGTCATAAAAATTCAGACTCTATAAAAAACATTTACTGTAGCAATTACAGCCTATAACATCTACATGTATCAGTATGAACAAACAAAGTCACAGTAATTTATCCTTATTACATTATATCCAGTCAAAAGGGTGTGTCCAAGTTCATTGCCTGTATATTTTTATGTATATTTAAAAATTGTGTAGATCTGTTTAACTTTAAACAAACCTTTAGGGCTGCATCAATACTTGCTCCATATCGGTCTTCAAACCAAATGGATATTTGCCCCATTGTTCCCAAATGTGATCTTGACACAGTCTCAATCATGCCAGTAAGAATGTCGTTTGAATCATAGAGGCTGTGCAAATCTTTACTTTCTTCTGTCACAAATTTTCGCAGGATTTTAAAATCATCAGCAGAAAGTTTAAGGACCATGCTGTATTCTTGTGACCCTGATGTTGGCTCCTGCAAAAATAAAAGGAATTTAATTGAAAAGATGTCTGTCTGCACTGTTGGGATAATAATTAACCAATAAATAACATATCTAGTATTTACAAGGACCCATGCACATATGGTACTTGTCATGCTTTATTCGTAGAATATGTGATAAAACTTTTCAAGATAAATTTCATTAGCCAACTCTAGTATGATCACTTTATATACTGATTTAAGATACTCGGTAGTGAAAGTTATCATACACAGCATAAATTTGCACTTTAAAATTGTTAAAGGATCCAAATTCTAGTGCTGGTTGTGGGTGTTTCAATACTTTTCCTGTTCTACTTTGCATGAACATAGAAAAATTGAAGTTATATATACAAACCTTCAGCTGGAAATGTTTCAGAAAAGACTGGACAAAGTTTTTAAATATTTGTTTCCCTGCATCGACTTTTGGACACACTGGCTCTTCCTTTATTTTTATGGGCTCAATTATTTCTGAAGGGAGAAGTTCATTACTACTAGCTTCTTTTAAAGTTTTGATTTCAGTTTTTACTGTTGTTTCCACATCTGGTTTGTCCTTCATGCAAAATAGAGATATAAAGTTTATTCCCTTACACAAGTCATTGTTACAACAACAGAAATAAACATTTAAAAAATTTAAAAAACTTATAAGATTACAATTTTATACTTTAGTCCGATATACAATATAGATACATATCCATCCCTGGCAGGTCTTTCACCTGTCAATTCCAGGGCATGCACCAAATACCTTGTATCATAGATTTTTCTCCACGGGGATTACAATTTTATACTTTAGTCCAAATATATACAATATTACATATCCCATATCATATGGATCATAGATCTCTTCATCTGTCAATACACTCACTACACAAAAGAGCATCAAAAACCAGATTCTCAGCATCCTGGACTTCTAAAATTTAATTTATAAAAACACGAATAAATATTATCATAATCTTAAAAGAAATAACACATCGAAAAACACTGTATATCAGTAAACGAGAGAAAATAAGAAAGTCAATGTTTTACTTTTACACTGCAGGTATTTTATTTTTATGGTATAGGAATCAGCACGGGGTTTCGGTTTCGAATACCTGTAATTTGCTTTAGAAAACCTTAATTAATTATCAGAATCTCTTCAAACTTAAGAGGAAAGAATATGAAAACTGTCATCGAAGTAATTATTAGCTGTCAACAGATTTTCTGGTCATAATTTACAGAAAACCATCGGAACTGATCAATGTTCAGCATCAGTTTGGTCAAGGATTGGGGTATTCTAAGGAACCAAATGGACTAATTTTTTTCATCTTCTCTGTCTTCACCTATTAATCATAATGAATTTCTCGACATTGTTTAAAAAAAATCGAATAGAATTATTTTGAAAAATGTTTACAATTTTTTAAAGATTAATTCTTGAATCTTTTTCTTTCATTGTGTCCAAATAAATGGGGTACTCAATTTATCCAAACCATACCTCCAAATAATAAACAAAATTTTCCGGGTAATACTCAATAGATTCCGGGAAATACGTGATGAATCATGTTTGCCGATTTTCTTTCTAATTAATAACATGACGATGTCTTCAAAGGATCCAGACGCTCTAGTTTATTTTACAGGGAAAGAGCGTGAGTATTTAGCCTTTAACACATTTTTTTTTTATATTTTGATTATTCCTTAGTTCTTGTTTACATGTAACAGAGCTGAAGTGTAAAATTAAAAAAAAAAACAAAAACAAAACAAAACAAAATGCACAATGCGTTGAAAAATATCAGAAAATTGTCTCGAAATAAATGAAAATATAGCTATTGAAACATGCGATCCAATATAAAAAAAAGATTATCACAACAAATAATGCGAAAGTTAAAAAAAAAAAAAGACGGTGAGCAAATAGGGTCATAAAGTAAACTGGAGCAGTGCGGAGGGCAGGTGGAAGACAAAATTAATACATTGTATTTGTTCAGAACGCGCAAAATCCATCGATTTTTCATACATACAATTTGAACCATTTATAAGTGTTTGTACACTGAACAAAACTTGTAGTAAGTAGTTAATTTGCAAAACAAGACAATTAATATTCAGTGATGAGTTTTTGCAAAACAAGACAATTAATATTCAGTGATGAGTTCATTTTGAATGATGAGACATGCTGACAAATAAGTTAAATACTTTCTTCGATTTTGTTTAATGTCAGATTTGGACAATTTTATGCATGGACTTTATAAGGAATTTATAAGGAATCATATCACCGATATAATAACTAAACCCCCGAAATATTTTTCGTTTGGTAAACGCACTATCAATATTATACACACTAAATTAAGACACAACTGTTTGCTAAATTATGATCTTTACAGAAGGAATAGTATTGAATCTCCTAAATGTATTTGTGGTCAGAATGAGGATGTATATAATTTTTTCTTTGTTTGTAAAAGATATATAAGAGCAAGAAATAATCTTTTTGACAAACTTTTTAGACTGGACGAATCGATTCTGATAGACACACATCTGTTGTTATGGGGTACTGACACTCTATCTTATGATATGAACTGTCTTATATTTTCGGCAGTTCATAAATTTATCAATGAATCTGGAAGACTTGATTAACATTTCAATTTATTTATGATACTTGTCAATATTATTTACTTTATTATGTTATTATTATGACAACTGTACTAACTGTATCAACTTTACTAACACCAGGAGAAGAACTTGTAAGAATTTGTTTCTGACCCTTTTGTGTTAAACAATGAAATATGTTTAAATCAAGGCATTTTTAAAAACTTCTTTCTTAAATCTTTGGATAGTATTTTAGCTTAGCTGTTCACAGCACATTGTGTTAGGCCACTGTGTCCCCATTTTCAAATTTGACTACATTTTACTTCGTTTCCCTTAGTAAAACAGGGGGTTCAAGACAAAGCCACCGGCCACCAGGGGTCGTTTACATCTCCTAGGCACCTGCTTGCTGGCACGTATGGTGTTTCAGAAGTCCAGTTTTTCCTTTTTGACTGAATTTCAAATTCTGTTTTTATTTACAGGATTTATAAAAATGCATGAACACAACTCGTTACGTCATCCTTTTAATTCTTTCTATCAGTTATATGGTTCATAGGTGCAGGATAAAATTGCTAAAATAAAACGTTTGAAATATATAGTTTTCTATGCTGTAATGTATTTTCAAATGATCAATACACCAAATTGAATTTTAATGATTTATTTTCACAGTGGAAGAGGGACGAATGGTCCAATCTTTCAAAAGGTACGTATTTTCCTTTATTGAATATTTTATCTCGAGTGGTACCATGTTTCCTTTAAAAAGTTAAGGTGTAAATTAAAAAATACATGTATCTTTTTTTCAATTCACAGGTTTTTACTCAAAGAGATACAGGGACGCGTAAAACTGGCAAGAAATGATGTTACTGATCCCCTAGAGTATGATTTTTCTCATGTAGTTCGTGGCATCGCTATTGTTATCAGTAACGGAATATTCAACCCAGACTCTGGTTCCAGAATGGAGGAAAGGTCGTATGCAGAAATAGAACTTCGCAAAATGAAAGAAATGTTTTCTGGACTGGGGTTTATTGTAATGTTGTTCAAGGATCTAAGAGCAACACAAATGTATGATGTCATAAAAGCAGGTCTGATTTCTTGGTTTGTTTTTAAAAATAGTTTCTTTTGAATGAATTCTCCATCTGTGCTAAAATGTTTAAATTCTCTGTCTTAAAAATTAAAAATTAAATATCATTATATGAAAACGAATTAATCTAACAATCGAATCGAAATCTATCATTCTTTAGTTACCTCACAAGATATGGATTTTTTCCTGGATAAATCGGATGCCTTTGCTTGTGTTCTTGCTTCACACGGAAATGAAATTCAGGAAGACAACCCAGTCGACCCCAATATTAAGAACTACCACCACATTATATATGGGACAGACAGACCCATTAGAACTCATTATTTGTTAGATCTGGTCCACGAAAGACGATGTAAAAAACTACAGGGTAAACCAAAAATGTTTTTCATACAGGTACATACACCCGTTAATAATGTTTAGATATTATGAGGCAAAAAATTATAGTTTCTCAAGCCAAAAATTTCGAAAATTAGTGCAACAGACAGGGTGCTTTTTTTAAAAGCAGGTATCTATTTATTCAACAAAATGATAACTTATTCCTTATTTTTTGTTGTTCTCTTAAAATACTAATTATAATGTTATCAACTTTAATTAAATGAAATTATTCCAAATATTTGTAATAATGTTAATAAAGGCCCGTATTGACTAGAAACTGGCATTTAGTTATTCAACAATTTAATTATATTTTTAACGTATCCCTTCTTTTTTGTTGTTCTCTTAATATACTAATTGTAATGTTATCAACTTCAAATGAAATTATTTCAAATATTTGTTATAAATAAAATTAAATTAATAAAGGACCGTATATTTAATTTATTCACTACAATGTAATACAAGTAGTCTGTTTTGAAATTTTTATGAAAAGGGAAATAAATCAACTTGGAAAATAGAGAATTGAGTTATTTCCCTTTTCAAAATGTCAATAAAATATTGGTCAATTTTTGACCTGACGCGACAGTGCCTGGGAAACTATAATTTTTTTTGCCTGGTATGTAGTATATACCCAGTACCCTGTACTCTTTTTTCCAATCATTTCATGTTTGTTTTGCCATGATTCTGCAAAGTGCAGTACATGTACATGTATACATATACATGTAATTATACCTTTTAAGCAAAATTCACGGGTTTTTTCAAGACTCATCTTAGAACTTTTAAATTTATCGTGCGTTCCTATAGGTTTTGTGGTGAAGCAAATATAATAAAATGCAGCCATACATTAGACCATCATTAGACGATATACTGTAAACACTGTATGTTAAATTGTTAATATTTTTATTAAAAGTATTTCTAAATATCATACAATTGGTAACTGTTTATTTTCAAGGCCTGCAGAAGTCGATTTAACGATCCAAATCGTTTTGGTACCGGTGTCAAGGTACAAGTCTCCAACAATCGTCATGTAACACAATCAGGACGTGATAAATATGAAAGTATTTCTACAGACCCCACCTTAACCTCTGAAGACACGAAATCAAAAGGCAACTCTACACCGGAAGAATCCCCATGTCAAGACAAACTAGAGAATGGAAGCAATGAATCTGATATACCCGAATCTCCTTCAAATAAGGATCCCTTTTCATCAGGCGACAGAGCATCTTCACAAGAAATTGGTGATGACGTAGGAAACAAGGGCTGTACCAATCAGATTTCAGAGGAACGCTCTTCGGAACCTCCGCCTGAGGATGAAGAAGATCTCGCCGAGCTATCCCATAAACTAAATTTACAGGAACTCATTCCCTGTTGGGAAGTTGAAATTATACGTGAGGAAACAGATGACATTTCTGAGGATCCAACAGAAGACATTTCTGAGGATCCAACAGAAGACATTCCTGAGGATCCAACAGAAGACATTTCTGAGGATCCAACGGAAGACATTCCTGAGGATCCGAGTATTATTCAAAGGGGCTTTAAATGGGTTAAGAAGCGTGTCTTCAAAAAGATAGATAGGGTAGCCAGAAATGAGGACGAGGCTGCAGGAGATTCAGTGACGACAGTAGCGACACCATGTCACAATGATTATCTTGTCATGTACTCCACTTCCCAAGGTAAATAATTTGATACATTTTCGTAAATAAAACACCACGTTTTATTTTTTAAGTAATTGCTTTTAGAAAAAATAAATTCGGATTAAATCAAATAAAATAAACAAGATGGGCTTAAGATCTAGAAAACTTTTGCAGTGTTTGTATTTTAAAAAATTATTTTACTAGGGAAAGCTGGCTTTGGTCGGGAAAAGGAAGGCGGTTGGATGATTCACGTCATGCATGGGATCATGGTTAAACACATTGAATTCATTGGTCAGGATAGGCGGAACTGCTTAGACTTCCTGTCTGTTATGACATGCGTGATGCGTTTTATTGGGTTTTATTACGAAACTGACACCGGAAAACCGAACACTTCTGGTTTTAAAACGGCACCTACAATGCAGCATAAATTGTCAAAAGATCTTATTTTTAGAAATAAATACCCAAAGACATCCTAAAGCTGAACTGTTGTGATACTTTTTTGTGCATGCTCATTAATTGTTGTATTTGATGGCAGTTCCATCCTCCTGTGATGTCATACGCTTTTGCAAAAATTGTTATCAATCAAAATTTATACCCATTAGAAAAATATCTTTTGCAAGAATGCTTTTCAATGGGTGTAATGCAAATAATTGTTAAGTAAAAGACTTAAAAATGTATTCTTTGTTTAATCAATTATTCTGTTTTAAAATGTTGCCAATGATATGCGCTACAACTCTTCATGTATGTAGGTATTTTCTTTATTGTACGTTTGTTTATTATGTAAAATGCTTTCCCTGATATTCACAATTCTAGTACATGTATTTTATAAATTAGCAATTACTTTAGAACTCTGAGCATCAGAATTATGTATTTTAAACTAGTATCTTACGTTTATAATATATTCAATAAAAATGAACATTTTTTAATGCTGATATATACACTTCTATGCAATCTACACATTTTTGGCTATTTTTTATTTAATAAACACTACTATTATATATTTAATGAAAATTAATGCTGTTTTTCGACTTTCAAATTTAAAATTGTGAGGATGGATATACCTTAACTACCTGAAGATATGTAGCCTTATAGTTTTTAGTCTTTGTCCATGCGTTATGGTCAAAGAGTAAAATATAAAACCACAACGCTATACAGTTCTGCAGCTACAGATAAACATGCGTCTTCCTTTTTCAAGTAATCAAGATTAAAACTTTGCAAACAGCTTTCATCTCATCTATGGGAAAAGTCAACGGTTTTCCTTTGTTTGCCATATCATTTTCATAAACTTGTCTGATTTTCATACCTTCTAGTACGACAGGGTCAATTTTAACCAAACTTTGCACAGATATATACCTCCCTGGTTCAATTTTAAAACTTGAGTCCGAGTCTTTTTAAAATACAAGAATAAACAGCTTGGATTTTCTTAAAATTGCATTTCATCAATTTAAACCTAATTAACAAACAAGCAATCCTAAAATTACTCAAAAATATTTTAATACAATAAATTCAAACAATTATCAAAAATGTATTCACTCTAAATATTCTTTATCCAAACAACTTTCAAAACCATTATCCATAAATAAAAACATGTTGATGCCCACTGGAGCGGAGATCAGGCATGTTTACGTGGAGCACTAGGGTAGAGATCCATATAAGCTGAATAGTGTCTTTTATCTACAATGAAGCGCATTGAAGTGGTAAAATTTTCTGTTTGACTGGAACGTTTTGGGCTATCTTTAGAACGATGATTGTCATACAATGACACGCCCATTTCTTTAGATCGGAAAACTCGGTCAGATTGTTCATTCGAATACCTGTGGAACAGGTATTCTATAAATATAAGAGCCAATCAAATAGGCGGTCTACATATAAACACCGAGTAAGCACGTGTTCGACCGATACCTGTGTTATGGTAACTCCAATGATCATGATAAATTCATAATTATGGACAAATTCGTTGCAACATTTGTTTTACAGAAGCAGGAACTCTCAAACTTTCTCTCTAATGATATAAAAATCTCCATTTCGGTGTAACTCATGTTTCTTGTCACGAAGAGTGGGGTGTCCTTAAACATTACGACGAATATTTCTTTTCCGTTTCTAAAGAAATGGGCGTGTCTTAATGTTATAATTGACGTTCAAAACATGACTCAGAACGTTTCATTCAAACGGAAAATTTCACCACTTCAATGCCCTTCATTGTAGATGGGTGTTTGCGTGGAAATGGTTAAAACCTTACGGTCTAAACTCTAAAAATTTTTTACTGCGGACATCTGGCATATAGATGGCGCAGGACCCCCCCCCCCCCCTCCCCAGCTTTTTTCCGTCGTCTGAAGTAAATTCTTTTATTTCTCATTATTTATTACGTTTAAATGATGTGCCCCACTTTGCATAAAAATATATTAGTATTTTTATGTAGCGTTAGAGGACCAGCCTCTGAAACTTAAAAAAGGGAAGTTTATCAGATATTCAAATAGAGGTATGAAATTGCTGCAAATTCGTGTTTTTGATAAGATATTGTGTCCAAAAATGGTTTTTTTTTTAAAGAATTGGAAAAGAAGTGTTACACAATCCATATGTCAGCTGCCTGTAGTATTACAAAATTACAATATAAAAAAAAAATCTGTGTAAAAATAATTTACTCTAAAATCACCCATCTATTTTAAAAAGTCAGAGTCTTGAAAATCGACACTAATCAGTTTGTGGTCTACAGCAACATCCAAAACATCGTCCAAAGCATCGTCCAATTCGTCGGAGAACACGACGGAAGATATTTGGCTGAAATAAGATAACATTTAGCATTAATATTTATGTAAAGACGGAGTCTGAGGTTACCTAGAATTACATTGGCATAAAGCCTAAAAGCTGCATTACCTTTTTCCGCTTTTGGGGCACACTGGCGGCATCATAGAAAGCTTTAATGAGGTCTCGACTCAACATATCTGTTGCCTATAAAATGATATAAAGTAACCAAAATTAAACAGTTCATAAGGAAGAAACTAAACAAATTATTTTTTTGTCTTACATGTACATACATTATCGTAAAAACGTACTCAAATGTATAGATGATCGAAGACAAAACATCAAAATCTCTCTTACTTTCTCTATTTTAAAATGTACTTTATTGTAACATCAAAGATATACAGTACTATGTACGAACAATAAAAGAAGCAACATTTCTTAAAGAAACAAATGTTAAAAAACGAATACAAAAGTAAGAAGAAGAAAACCAAGAAAGAGAACTTTTAAAACTGTCTTAGTAGGATGTTAATAAAAATTAAAATTTGAATACCTAGTGCTGATAATTATCTTCTGATGAATAAAATAATGTGTAAACTAAATTAACTTTTCCTATACATACTTGATTTCCAAAATATTTTAAATCTCACACAGAAAGTATTACTGTAAATACCTCTAGAATCTTCTATTTACTTGTAATCTTTTAGAAACAAGAATGCTTACAAAATTGTATACCTTTAGATCTTATCGCCCGTTCAGCTCAAAAGTTAAACTGAGTTTTGCAACAATATTCAGAAGTGTTAAAATTCTTACCAAGCTATTGATGGCAGCGGAGTCTATGAAGTCTTCTTCAAATCTGTCGGTGAATGTTTCCTGTAAAATTCATGTAACATAATATATAGATTTTGTAACTTAAAAAAAATAGAATGTTCAAATACAAGACAGAACTTCATTTTGACTTCAAGGGATTAGGGTTTCAGAGATAAAATTTGAAAAATCAAGAGTAAAAATTTGGTTAGTTACTCAATATCGTTTTTGAAATATTAATATCAATCCATACCTCTACCCCGATGTACCTAAGACTCAGGTACCATGTATACAGGGTCTGAGGACGTCCTACAGGTTCAGTTTTAGGTTCGGGTTCAGGTTCAGGTTCAACTGGAGGAACAGGACTATGGGCATAACTGGTGGAAGGTTGATCCTCGTCCTTTAAGACAAAGTACATATTACAGACACTAGTTTTGCTTGAGGTCAATATTCAAAAAAGTAATCTGAAAATATTTTCACGTAATTTGTTCAAACTAGTCCATCTAACCTCAACTAAGGCCTTAATTAAGTTATGTTTCATGTTTTATTTTCAATAAATAAATTTGAAAGTAATTACGACTATTTTATTTTATATACAGTATTATTCTTCAAGGATTTGTTAGGAACGAGATGATATTATAAAATTTCATTTTATACATGGTTCGCACTCAACGATATGATATTAGCAAAATTTCATCTTATTTTTTTTTTAATATTGTAGTTTTACCATATTACAAATACTTAAATTGTACTATGTAAACGATATAAACGTAATTCAAAGATTAACTTCAGTGATTTTGTAAGAATCTTACAGATTTCTCTTCATCGTATTCTCCCATCTCCCAAGCAAATCGGGAGGCCAGTTCTCTTCTGGGAGATATGAAGTACTGAAGATATAAAATGAAGCATTTGTTAGGATGATTAAGTATGTACTAAAATGCACTGAGAAGTATATAAAAAAAACTAAGATTCTTTTTTAACATACATGTCCGTACCACCTGTGTGTTTTCTGATCGCGACGCTCAACCAAGGACTTCCGAATTTCAAACCCCTGTGCCTTTTCCAGTATATTAGTGAAAATAAATAGCGATTGGCAAATAATTTCTGATAGGGTACATGCATTTTAAGCAAATTATAACAGTTGGGCCATATTTAAAATACTGAATGCTTGAATTTAAACTTGTATTTAATACGTCTTCGTAAATGATATCTTACCTTGAGTTCAAAGGGGTTTTTTTCACTATTTTTTTTTTTTTTTTTTTTTTTTTTTTTTTTTTTTTTTTTTTTTTTTGCCTGAAATTAATTTCTTGCAAACTTGACACTGAATTTGTCAATAATTATGAATCATTATCAAATAGACTAAAAATTAAGATTCCTATTGTGGTTCAATGATCAGTCCCCTGAAATCATAGAATATAGAAGGATTGTCAAATCCGCCGTTTAGTCTCTTGTTTGTAATTCTTGAGAAGATTATTTTTGTGAAGACTTTCACCTATATTTATAAATTATTATCTTTGAAAAGACCATCGCTATCCATTCGAAAAAATAAACTGAATCCATTTACAGTTTTACTGAAGTTTGCATTTTGATTAAGAATTCTCGCGCATACCTTTCAATTTTACCAAAATTTCCAGTAATACATATTATTATAGGTGTTACGTATTTTTTTATATGGACAGGACATTTTGGTAAAAATTATAAGTTTTAGTCACAGGCCTTTAGATCGCTTAGAAAAAAAAATTGACGTGTTGAAAAAAAAAATAAAGGTATGGAACTCTTTTCATGGGGTACCTACTTTCGCCAATAAAATTCTTTTAAATCAAATGCTTTACAATTTTACTTTCTATCCATATCTATTCAAATATAAACAATCTTCATTACTACCAAAGTTCATTCCGTAATTCCTTATACTTCTCGAGATATTCTGAAATCCATTCCCAAATTGACAATAATTTTTTTACTCGACATCAGCTTGGGCCTTCACTAATTGTAAAGCGGGAACGACGGGACAAATTTTCCCCGGAATTTATTCTAAACTCAATGAATATTTGCTCATTTGCATTCAAGCTTTACAAGGTTTTTCTTTAATTTGATCATATGGTGTAAATAAGTCATAAACAACATTTTAGCGGTCTAATTGTTTTGAATTTCGAAAGGTATATAATGCATTCCGGGAAAAATTCGTTCTACCATGACTTCATTTACTTTCATAATCAACATGGCGGTAGTTGTTGATGTCGACGTTTTCAAATTAATTTTTTGCGAAAGGAATATTATTACGGACTTTACGTTACAATCTGGAGTAAGAAATCAACTTTAAATTGTTGAAAGATTTTGCAAGTACCCTGCAACTCTCCGCCGCACTTCAAACACCGTCTGTTTACATGTGAATGACCAGGGGCCCAAGCTAATGTCAAATAAAGAAAGTAGGTCATTTTTGAAATTGATTTCAGAATACCTCAAGAAATATATGGAATTTCGGAATGAGCTTTGGTAGAATTGAAGAATGTTTATCTATGAATAGATTTAAATAGAAAGTAGAATTTTTGAGCATTAGAATAAAAAATATTTTGTTAGCGAAATTAGGTACCCAGTGTAAGAGTTCAGTACCTTTATTTTTTTTTTACACAAACAATTTTTTTAAGCGATCCTAAGGCCTGTGGTTTTAGTGAACTCTCGTGTTTAATTCTAACTTTCCAGTATTTCTGAAAGAAATGTCGAAAACGCCAACCGCTATTCAACAGACGACAGAAGACACACAGACATCGGACAAACTTTGAAAAATTGTTGTTGTATTCTTGTATTTCGAAGCAAGGAAAGAAAATATCAATATTTTTCCGTGATAAATCTTGAGATATGGATGTGATTTTTACAGATATGTATTGATTTCATTACATTAAATTTAAGGTAAGGTTTGCGTCTCCCTCCAAATCATATTTTTTTTAATATGCACACATGCTATATATCAATTTATTCAGGGAGATTGGCTTCATCATTTAATATGATTTTCAAAGATATTGCCCGTCCCATTTTTTTAGTAAAAGATGCCAAATTTAACGTATTTCATATTTCACCTCGAATATTATTTTCACTGAAAAAATTGCTTTATTTTATAAATTATCAAACTTTTATAATTAAAATGACCTGAATTAGAATAATTCATGCTTCTATTATTTAAAATTTTAATTTTCCGTTATGAAAAATATGAAAATTTGGGTAAAAAAGAAGATTTTTCAATTTTCCTTGAAAAAGTGAAACCGTTGCCATGGCAACGAAAATATAAAAATCAACATTTTACATATCTACCGATTCCATCAAAATCCATTAAGTTATTAATTTGATCATTTTCATTAATTTGAACTAAAAAAATATGTATGTCCCCAATATTATTTCCATGGAAACAGGGGCTATATTATGGGTTCGGAACATAAAAGTCAGGCTTTTTCTACACTTTTAAGACAACATTGATATAACCTTGTCATGGTGAATGTTAAAGACTAAATGTTAGTTTTGATATTGTTTTTTGGCATAAATTGGCCAAAAATATTCAAAATAAAACTCCTCCTGTGCTACATGATGGTCTAAAAATTTATTCCATGGAAGAACTCTAGTATTTATGGCAATCTTTACATCTTAATATTCTGATGAAATTGTCTATGAATTATACTGCAACACCTTTAGAAGTACATGTATATGTATATAAACATACTTCAGAAGATGTTGCAACTAAACCAATTAAAAGCCTATAAATTTGACATCATGCTGATTAATAGTTATTTCAACTTGTAGTAACTTCTATACATCTTTGTAGCAAAATATCTTTATTCAGTTATGGCTGGTGACTGTCATTATACATGTATGCCATTTTTTGAGTGAAATGTTGTAAGCATTGCATCCACGAAGCTGCTGTTTTTATAATTAAATGATTTTTTTACTTCAAAGAGTAGAAATGCTATCTTTAAAGTAATGCTTGTTTGCCCTCTCTTGACTCAGGGTAAATTATTGAGTTGGTAGGTGAAAAAATCTTCAACATTTTTTAAGGGGATAAGAGGAATAAAAAGAAAAAAAATACTGCCCTGCATTGAAAAAAGTTTTCAGTCTGGTCATTTTAGTCAGTCGGTCTGGAGAGGCCGACAACCAAACATTTTTTAAAGATGGCCTATTTCTACACTTCATGGACATTAGCTCAATCATTGGATTAGGTAGTCTGAGAATCTAAATTGAAATATCAGACAGAACAAAATAAAGATGAATTCTAAGTGACATCAATTCATACTTTAATGAGTACTTCTGATTTCAGAGAAAAGGCAAATTCTGCAAAATGACATAACACTGTCATAAATATTTGTCAAGAACAGGGAAAAAGAAACAATGCTACAGTGATGGATATATCTCCTTGATATCCATGAAATAATAATTTAAATATAACAAAATTTTCTCCTTTTTAAAATCAAAATACAGAAAAAATTAAAAGATTATAAATGTAAACTATTTTAAAATAAACTACATGTACATGTATTTGTGAAAGATTTTAATTTTAGTAGATTACTAAACTGGTCTTATCATTCCTACTAAATTAACAACGTTACAATTTCCAAGTGTCATGTTTTAAACTGTTACAGTAGATATAATTATACATGTTCACTGCAGTTTTATGTACAAATCTCATCAGTTTTCAGAAATACTTATTTGAGCATATTAGGTCCTGGTAAGAACAAAATTTAATGAATAAAAATATTAATCTTAATTGTTCATGTATTAATTTCCTTGCAATTTTACAAACCCTTTTAAGAAACTTGTTACATGTAAGTATAGACAAAAGCAACCTTCATATTAATACATATGATGCATACATTTATTTTACTGAAAACAAATTCAAAGATGGACAAACAGAGCGTGCACTGCAATCATCACATACACATATTTTCTAAATATATGGAAAACAGCATGTACCAGGTATATACTAGATACGATGTTGTTAAACATTAAATTTTCTTCTATAATCTATAGACATATAAAAATATGCATTGGGTATAACAAGTCAGAAGTTCTTCTCCAAATCTCCATTGATTTTGCCATGTCTGGTTCAACATCTTAGCTTGATCCATCCAACTTTCTTTAATATTCTTGAGCTGATATGGGATGACCTCTACTTTGATTGATGGCACAAATCTTTTAAGGAAACATTGAAGTACTTTTTTTGGTTCTTATCTATTCCAATTAATGACCCATCATCTGAAATCATATGTGTTCATTTTTACAATAACATTTAAGGAATTGCATTTTGGAATTGCATTAGGAATTGAACTGAGTTTCATTCCCTCAATGAAAATCAGAAATGAATAAATTTCCAATATAATCAATGAAGAATCAATATGAAATTATTGTAAAATTTACAGATTGAATTAGTGAAATGCAAATGCTTGATCAAGAAAATTAATGTTCTTGTCATGCACAATCTGTATCTCTTTTTTTATTAATTAGAAAATGAGATATTAATTAAAATCAAACCTCATTAAAAAGGTAACTTGAACAATTGAATACCTGTTCCAGTAATGTTACAAATATTAGGCCTAAAAAGCAAGGATTTTATTTTTTATAATTTCTTGAATGAATGCATTTTTATTTTTTGGCAATGTTGGGATATATAAGTCACATCCTGACATCCTTGTACCGTTTATTCGTCGTTTTTAAATCCGTAGTCAGTAGATCATTCATAACTTTCAGTAAAATGAATAGTTAAATAATTACCTGATGAAAATACTATCAATAATCAAACTGTCAACATCATCATTGGACATGGTCAAATGCACCGTGACTTTTCTTCCCTGTTCGGACTGCATATAGCATAGTACTTTACAGGATACTCTCTGAGTCTCAGGTCTTTTCTTTTTTCTTTCCCATTCTCACTTAAATTTTAGTGTAGTGGTGAAGCGAGAAACACACAACAGCACAATGCGTCAATGACTTTCTTCTGATCAGAAGGCCGTGCAACTTGCCACGTTCCGTATCGAAAATAAACAAGTCCTCCTTTATTGGTTCATCCACATGCATCACGCTAATCTCAAAGGTTTCTAAGATTCCTAAGCTCTGATTTGTTATAAGACTTTCTCCTGAAAACGTCCTTTGTTTTTAGTCCAAGTATGACAGAGGAAATTCGTTACCGAGATGCTTAGCATCGCTGGTTTAAATTCGCCTGTTTCAAACGCTTTGGTGATTCGCAAGAGTTACCTCCCTGTAAACGCAAACCTTACCTTAATATTAAATATATACGGTATTGTACAAATTAATCTCTATACCCATAAAGTCTAGCAAATACCTGGTACGTAAAATCATACTTACCCGCTCTATTTCTTCTCTTGTGTAGTCCCACCTCGGGTCATAGTAATTAACATCCAGTTCGGCCTATTGAGTGAAAAAAAAAACCATAAACATCATTTTAAGAGAGAGAGAGAAAAGGAGCAAGGAAGACAGAGGCTAAAGGGCAAAAACCCTAACTAAGTAATTATCTCCTTTTTTATTTTCATCATTCTATTTACCGACATATTACTTCCCGAACAAGAAGCCTCATCCTAACCGGGGGGGGGGGGGGGGGTGTCATTATCTGAACGAAATTGAATCCAAGGAAGCTTCCATAAATTACATATGATTAAGCACGACTTTGCTGTTTCTAGAGAAATGTTAAATAAGACTTATTTATCTATGTATTCCCATGTTTTGTTTTTGTTTTTTTAAAAATCCTCATTGTGGTGCCCCCCCCCCCCCCAGTACCTCGGGGTCAGGAACTGAACCATCATCGTCGCAAACCACGGCCAAAATGTACGACCCTCTTCCAGGAGACAGCCATAAGCGGACTCCGAACCGTGGCTTTAGACGATGGATCTGAACAAACACTCCGGAATTTATAGGACTTGTGAGTGCTTCTACATGCATATTACAAGTAATATGACTGATCATTCTAATACTATTCAAAAGATTTTACAGATATTACCTATTCGGTTGTTCATAATAACCATTTAATTCCTACCCCGGGGGTCATTAATTAATTTACACATATCCTAAGCAGGCACCTGACCTAGCATCCTTTTTGAAAGAAGGGGAATAATTAAACCAAATGGATTTGCCCAATTTCGACGAAAATTTCATACCAAAAAAGTGGTATCTGTGGTATCAAAAAGGAATCTGCTTTTTCGACTTTGAAAAAAAAACTCCATGCATCTGACATTATTATCATTATTAACATCGCTATTCTGTTTCAACTTGGTAGATTTACATACATTGTATCAAACGGCAGGGGATCATAACCTTTCATTGAACATTTACTATTAAACAATTAAAAATTGTTGCTAAATTAATTAGCTGCTGCTGGTCCCTAAGACCTATATTAAAGGGCCGAAGACAATAACATGCTTAACATCCCCCCCCCCCCCCCACACACACACTTATGCCCCAACCCCTCCACATATACTAAACGACTGGTAACTGGTTAAAAAGTACTAAAGTACATGTAGTGATCTAGTAAACTTTCGAAAAAAAAGTTATAAAACGCTTGAATGGGAATAAAAATGGCTGTACGTGTTTATACAGGCCAAATTTTTCATGATCTAGCCTAATTTCAAGTCCAGTACTGGCAGTAGCCGAGTAGGAACAGATGTGGTGTTCACAATCACATAGAAGATCACAGTAAAGACTGGCTTATTGTTGGAATAGTAAAACAAATATACATGTATCTTAGGCAAGGAACATATACACGTACGGTTGCTAATATTGTGAGATGACAGTTTAAATATAAGACAAAAAATGACCAGCTACACTTTTACCAGGATAATGGAAGGATTTGCTCCTTCATCCAAATTTGAAGACAAATTACAGATCAGCAACAAACTTAGAAATTGAACACTTTGTTAAGTTGGAATACTTACCAATGCATATCTGTCAGTTTTCAGAGTAATTCCTGGGTTAATCCTTCGAGCCATACTTATTGAGTACTCAATAAATTCTCTTTAAAAGGACAAAATACCTGATAAAAAGAATCAAATCAACAAGTTCTCTCATTACCGAGAATGCCTATATTATGACGTCACTATGGTTATGACGAATCTCGTGAGATTTACAAAAAAATTATTATTATTATTCTTTTTGAATGAAATATCTTTCCTGTCGTAGTAGCAATCATTTACAAGGATTCAATAATTATTAGAATTATATTTAATCAAGAGCGCCGCTGTTTCTCAACCATCGGCTGAGAGGAACGAACGACAACTCTGGTAGGATCGAAAAATCCAAAAAGGGCCCGCTTGCACTTTGTTTAGGCTATTCAGAACACAACTTTCTCTGAGAATGGCTTGTTTTGATAATCCCCCACAATATCTTTTAAATAATGATGTATAAAATGTAAAACAAATCTCTTATTTTCATCATTTTATGACTTACCAGCATATTTGCTTCGTGGACATATTTGCTTTTGTTGCACTTGTTGATATGACGTCATAAAGTAAACCCCTTATAACACGCATGTCAGGAATGGCTCAAAAAAGGTTTAAAATTTTATTAACAGTATGACTGGCATTTAATATTTCGGGAAAAAAAACGACATATAAAAAAATATTTCATGTTATATACATTGTGTATAAAGTATATATTATTTAAAAGTAAGAGCAGGAATGTGCTAGTTATAAATACTTCGATAGCCATGTGTTATGTATATATTAATATTTATGATAGAATCGGAACACAGCTAGCCCATCCATCAAAGCAACTCAAAAAATTAGAATTTGAAAATCCTTCTCCCACTTTTTAAATGTTTTTTTTCAGGTGAGGTTTCCATCTCATTTGAATTTCCCCTTTCAAAGGCAAAGAAAGAGCACCCGTCTACAGACACTTATTTCGGAAATAAATTTTTAACATTCTATGGAGCAAGAATTTATCAACGAATAAAGTGCCTAGATTAACCGCCTCTTTTTTTGTCATCATTTCTCCTAATATATTGCATTTTCTGTCAACTATTGAGTACGTGCACTGATAATCATGAAATGTAAAATTGCCAATTATTTCTAGACAGGTGATATTTTTATTTTTAATCATATCCATAAGTGTTGTCTTCTGTTCCGAATTCGTCTTATGAAGGGCCAAGCACCGGCCCTTCCCCCGAATGGAAAATAGTCAATAAAAAGGTTTGCGCACATCAGTGCTAACCGCATCGTCGCAAACCACGGGTTTTGAGTCCGCAAGCTTCCTCAAACAAGTGATGATAGAGAGAATCGACGTGAATCACCCGTGGGTTACCGACGATGTGCTAACCGCAAACAGTGGTCCTGAAACAGCAATTGAAGCATGCTGATGTACTATAGATTCAGTCAAATGGTTGCGGCAAAGTCAAATAATAACTTTTTGAAAATATTTCTGTAATAAAAATACGAACAGAAGATAAAAGGCATTTCTTATTAAAATCTCCCAAGTTCATATTGAAAAACATTAGGTTAATTTTCAGGCCATTCTTAAAATTATTACAGAGGAATGAGAGGATACACGTACATGTTCGTTGATAAATACCCTTCAGAAAGTCATCAAAAGTATAGTTAGATGTATACATGCTGAGTAATTGGTGCCTCTTTCAAAATTGTGAAGCCCATGCTCTCTTGTTTAAAACACGATCGATCGAGCCAAAATCTATTGCTTTGAAAGTTATTACATGATAGTCAGGTGAATTATAAGGCCCGTTGGCTCTTGTTTTTTTCAAACCATGATTCCTTAAAGTAGGGTGTCGGGTAAGACTACAATTATATAGACTGTAGGTTTAAAATTTTACTTTCTTAACTGTGGTTCTATGAGAAAACCAGGCAGAATTGTAAAATATCAATTTTTAAGGTATTTTTAAATGTCATTATTCCATTAAATATTGATAAGGTACACATCACTGATAAAAAATCATGAGGTGAGAAAATTGATAGCTTGTTCTATTTATAGTAACAGGGCCGTCATTAAAACCAGGAAAATAAAGCATAAGAAAGGGCAAATAAAGGGGGAATTTCATTCAATTTCAATGTAGCATTAGAGCCAAAAGCAATCATTTCCACATAAACTACTTATTTAATATAAAAATTCAAGATTATAATTTATGTTTGATAAAAAAAAGATTTCTTGTCAAACATGCAATGTTGCCATAGCAACCTGTCAAAAATGTCTCTTTTGACAGACATATCGTTTCGGATGTAAAGGTACCATAAAAATCTTCATATTAAACAGGGTTAGGACGCTTATTATTTTTAAATTCAAAATTAATTAAAAAGTTAAGTATGTTTGAATTCTCTATGCAATAGGAATTGTTTGGGTTTTGAGAAAATCTGTCGTTTTTTGAGCAGTTAATCAGTGTTAAATTATCAGAGAAATTTGGGTGAAAATTAACATCAACACAATAAACAAAAGACAAATGTTGCTTATTAACTGATTGTTATTTTTCATTAATGTTGATCTAAAAATAAAAATAATTGTTCAAAATAAAATCAAACAATTAACAGGTTTAATTAATTAAAAGTGCCTTTCATGAGACATAAACATGGTTTCAGCATAGTTATCTCCCTTTACGGTACTCTCTAGGGAATGAGACACATAAGGTACATGCATGAATATGGCAGCTTCCAGGCATGGTGAAAGATTTGACTTTTCAAGGTCATGCACTTCTGTTGCATGTGGAGGACTTACAGAAAGTATATATCCATGTCGACAAAAAAAATATTGTCACACTTGCTGCATTGTCAAGCTGTCCCTAAACAACATCAAGTGACAATACCCGAGGGCGTTCTCTTGCTTTACCAAAGTTACAAAAGAGTATGTAAATTTCAAAATATGTCAAACGAGTCACAGAAATAGTCTTTGTACTTATTGGTACAAGACTCTAGGCGATGTTCACACCCGTTGCACCCACCAGACCAGAAGGAGAAACCAGACAGAGGAGTTAATTGCCCCGTTTCCAAAGAGATATGGCTACAAGAGAGGATACTTGTACCTGTTGGTAAGTGATATATAATGAACACTACAATAACATTATCTTAAACATGGATACAATTTTCATTGGTCCTCAGATGATTTTTAAGAATTTCTGGTGTAATATATGAGAGAATATAATGTACATTCCATATATATTTTGCTAAATAAAGTGGAGAGCTATGACATTCAAATTGACAAAGCTGCATACAAATAAAATTGATAGGAGAGTCTAAAGGATATCAATATGATTTTTATTATGAATCATATCACATCTAGGTGTAGTACACCATTGACTCGAGTAAGTTACTAGACTACAATGTGTACATTAAAAAATAAATATAATTCATAAGTGTCTTCAAAGCTCATGTGTACATATTGGATCTCAAAGAATCCTATCCACATGCACAATGATTTTCTTTTTAAGGTAGGGGTTATATTTTTTATTTAAAGAAAAATAAGCAACCTCAGGTGCCTGTGATCCCATTCAATTAGAATGGATATCTGTTCAAATGCAAGTAAAATTTAACAGCTCTCATTAAATTGCAGGTTTATGAAGGAATCGTTCTGAAAGGCACAGAAAAACTTACTCCACTAAAGTGGACATTGAGGATGATCATTGATGATAGGTTCAAGGTTGGTACATTGTATACATGTGATATTGCATAACCCACAAACAACACCTATTATATGAATGTCCAGGACGCTAATAAAAACTCAAAGCCCCTTCCCCCCCTCCATCCAATCTGAGTTTTTTTTTTATCAATAAGGAAATGCATGTTGTCTGCAATATTTAAAAAAATTAAGGCTTATCATTTCTCCAAGATTAACATCTTTTAGTTTAAGATTGAAAATTTATGAAGCAATGAATAAATGATCTTTCTATATGTTTACTGCACAAGTACAACAGAAAGCACTAATAAATTTTGAAGTTGGTCTTCAATGTGCTAAATTACACAACAACAAAACTACAGATGTACCTACCAAAAACAAAAATCAGAGTACATAAACAGTTTTGTAAATGATTACTTCATTTATATCAGGGAATCTGTGGAAAGTTTTTAAAAGGGGCTTCATGTAATCATATAGGCAGTTAAATTACAACCCAATTAACACATCCCATATACTCTCTTTGTCCAAAAACCAAAAAAAATGGAGAAATAAAACAGCCAATCAAACTCTACTTTAAACTATACATATGAATTAGTTCTTCTTGTAAAAGTGAGGTTGAAATCCTGTAGATTTTTATAAGTTGATCTGTGTTTTACTGTATTGCTCTGAAGCCAGAATAGTGAGAATACTATTCCTAGTGATCAAATTATTTAGAAATAAAATCCCACTCGTGTATAAAAAGAGAAAATAAATTAAAATATAAATACAATATATAAAATGATAAATATTCATTAAAGTATAAGAAGCTAGAGTAAGGGCTATTATAGTTTTGAAAATAGATGACTTTTGTCTGCATTACTGACTATCACATTGTCATGTAAATGATGTAAATCATATTTTTTGTTATTTCAGCTGAATTTTTTAAGCTTGGTACTGAGGATATTGAAGAGAAAATAGAATGTGACAATGAACAGTGTCCAGCTGTTTCTCAACACACCTCAGGGGTGGAAGGTACATATCTAGTTTATTTATTTTTACAAATTTGGTTTACTATAAGGTGAACTGTTGCTATCCGTATTCATCCATTGCTCTGCACCATATGTTGGTCATGTACTTTTGAATATTTTAAGCTTAATTTCTCTATTTAATGACTAAATTAAAATTCAAACTAATAAAATATCTGTTGGTAAATTAATTAGGATGGAAAAAGAAGTTAATGACAATTTGTCTTTTCATATCATGATATATTTTCATCCTTTTGTAGAAGCACAAATTTTAGTACGGGTAAAATTTCATTGATTTGTCACCTAAAAAAAGTTTCCAGGCATTAAATTTTGTTTTTTCCAAAGTGAAACTCAGTAGTACTGGTACCTATAACAACAAAATAAATGAAAATGAATATCCAATGAATATTTCTGCATTTACAGTTTATTGAAAATTCTTTGACAAGAAATATGAAGTTCCAATGAAAAATAAAAACCTTTATTTCACCAAAACCCATAATGAGATTGAGAGCATATATTTTTATTAGAGTGGGGGTATTACTACTGAGCATTGACACACAGACTTCTTTTTTATGCACCCAGATCGGTAGATCTGAGGTGTATATTGTTTTTGTCCTGTCTGTTTGTCTGTTTATCTGTCTGTCTGTTGTCAACTTTATCCTTCACCATAACTTTTGAACCATGGGAGATAGAGACTTCATATTTGGCATGCTTACTTAATTAAGTTCTTTCAAATGACACCAAGGTCAATGACCTTGTGACCTTGACTGTGACATCTGCAAAAACATTTTTTTTTTTCTTGTTTCTGTGTTAAATGGTTAAAGGAATAAGTCAATGAAATTTGACAGCTATAGCTAACCTGGCTTTTTTGAAAATCAAGGTTTAAGTAGTTTATTGATTAAAAATTTTCTCTTCCCGTAAACAACTAAAGGGGGGTAACTTTTGGAATTTCCTGTCCAAAAACCACTCTAACAATTTTGTCCAAAATGTGCATACACACAGTAGATATAGTCATGTACTAAATATACAAAATAGCGAAAATTAAACGACAGGAATATTTTGGGGTAGGTGTGTTGTACATCATTAAGAACCACAGTGTGTTAGGAAAGATGAAACTTATAGGGAAGCATCCTGGCCAGTGGGGTAGTGTAGATTCATATCTGTTCAAATCATGACCCCCAGGGCTGGGGCGAGGCCACGATCGATAATCAGTTTATACTTGTATGGGAAAAAATACTGAACTGATTTCTGCTTTTTTCCTAGCCACAGTGCCTAGGTGAACGATATGGCCCATGAGCCTCTTATGTTTAATATTCCATGGAAGTCAAGAATTGTCTTTGTCAGAATTATGTCGTCTTCAACATTTACAATATCTCTTATCAAAACTTATCTTTTTCAGAGCAATCCAGTCAGAATATAGAGTTTTGTCTGAGTCAGTCATCCTAAGGAACTGTATGTGACTACTGGAGACGACCCACATACTATCGAGAAAAGCTAAACAAGAGTATGAAACTGTCTGATGGTAAATTCACGCCCTTACGCTTCACCCTGAATACATCATTAGATGAGGTACAGCAGTCTATAAAAGACTATGTGACACAGAAAGCCAATGAAGTTATTCAGTGTGCCTTTGAATGCATTGCACCTTGCAAGAAAATGCTTTAATGCACTTGTTATATAAAAAATATTACATGCTGGAGGAAAAAAGATAGAAACTGATGCATTTACAGAAGCCTTAATAAAAGCATACGATCAGGATCATCAGGCTGATGGGCATCAGAGTCAAGTACAGATACTATCATTTTTTGTGAACAACGTTTCAAAAACTGAACTTTGTAAAATGTCGCATGGTTTAACAAAGTACAAAATAGATTGTGCAAGAAAATATGCATCAACTAATATTGTCCTGGCTACTTTTTTCATCCTTTGTTAAAACAAAACAGTGGAGCTACAGTCTCCTCAGAGACTACTGGTCTATCCACATGTACAGAAGTATTTTTACCAAAATGTTCAGTCATTGTACATACCATTTTTGAAGTGAAAATATTGATTTTTTAAATAGTAGCCTAATATAGTTCATAAAAGTATGAAACAAAGGGAAATAACTCTGTCGCAAAAAATCACAATTTTTTGGAAAAATTCCTCAATTTCAAAATCGCACAGTGTCACCAATAATCAAAACCCGAATAATTGCCTGTAGGAAATTATTATTAAGTTCACAATCTTTATCTTAAAACAAAATAATTTAAAATCTAAGCGTCCAAACCCAGGTTTAAAACATTTCCAATATCGACCCTTTTCCCACATTTTTCAGTCTCTTTTATATCAAGAGTTATTCCCCCTGTGTTTAAATATAGCATTGATTTTTAAGACAAAAAAATTTGTGCAAAATGAAATAAATAATATATATTTTCTTTTGTTCTTACTTTTGATCACTCAATATTTTAATGAAAAGAAGAGAATGGTGAATGAAAATAGCAATTTTTACAAAATTGTAAATACAAAATGATGATAAAGATGGTGGCTTATGGAGTACCCCCTTGGTGGGCCCCAATATTGAAAATTTTCAGAAATTTTTTTTCTTGTGATTATATGCTATATTGTTGGAGTCTTTTTGGAAAATTTCATTAATGTGAGTGACACTTCATGTATGGCCCCCTGCCTGGTTTTCTCATAGACCCACAGTTAATACATATATGTACGTCAGTAGCCTTCTGAATCCATAACTCTTCTTACATCACTGAATCTACTGGTCTTTCACATAATCCTTTTAACATAGTTTTGCTTATTACATGTATTACGTTAGCAAAATATGAACATTCTTCTTCAAAACTTCTTGAGCATGACACAAATAAACTTTTTGTTCAGAGGATTAAGGTTTATATTCATTCAAAAGGCCATAATCCCTTTGAATTGTGTTTTTAGTTAAGCAGTTCTGTTCACATTTTCATGAGAAAGATGTGTTTGTGAAACACTGATGCCCACGTATGGCAGCTTATGGCGAGGGCTGAATTCTCTCAACTGCATGTCAAACTCCATCGTCGCAAGCCACGGGTTTTGTGCCCATTCTATTTGTGGAAATAGAATGGACACAAAACCCGTGGCTTGCGACAATGTTCAAACTCTAAATATCAATTTTAAAGTGTTGGTACCTTGGTCATAACTTGAAAGGTCTGGGCTAAGGCTTTCATACTTCACATATGTAATCTTTCTTTAGAAACCGACAACTTCAGCCCCGTAGCATCGTTTTTGAAAGTGGGGGGGGGCAGCCAGAGAAAACGTTGCTTTTACTTACTTTAAAATTTTTAAAACAAAAAAAAAAAAAAGAGGCCCATGGGCCACTTCGCTCGCCTGAGAAGCTTTGACCATTCTGTTCTTTACCAGATTTCCCCCTTGTAATACATATGTGACCCCGTCTTACCCCACTGATCATAATTTATACAATTTGAAATCTACACTACCCCAGGATGCTTCCACATAAGTTTCAGCTTTTCTGACCCAGTGGTTCTTGAGAAGAAAATTTTCAAAGATTTTTCCTATTTATTTTTATGTAAAACTTTAATTCCCCATTGTGGCCCCGCCCAACCCCCGTGGGTCATGATTTGAACAAATTAGAATCTACTCTACCCCACGATGCTTCCACATAAGTTTCAGCTTTTCTGGCCCAGTGGTTCTTGAGAAGATTTTCAAAGATTTTTCCTATATATTTCTATGTAAAACTTTAATTCCCCATTATGGCCCCGCCCTACCCCCAGGGGTCATGATTTGAACAATTTAGAATCTACACTATACCAGGATGCTTCCACATAAGTTTCAGCTTTTCTGGCCCAGTGGTTCTTGAGAAGATTTTCAAAGATTTCTCCTATATATTACTATGTAAAACTTTGATACCCCATTGTGGCCCCGCCCAACCCCCGGGGGTCATGATTTGAACAAATTAGAATCTACTCTACCCCACGATGCTTCTACATATATTTCAGCTTTTCTGACCCAGTGGTTCTTGAGAAGAAAATTTTCAAAGATTTTTCCTATATATTTCTATGTAAAACTTTGGTTCCCCATTGTGGCCCCACCCAACCCCCGGGGGTCATGATTTGAACAATTTAGAATGTACACTACCCCAGGATGCTTCCACATATATTTCAACTTTTCTGGCCCAGTGGTTCTTGAGAAGATTTTTTAATGACCGCACCCTATTTTTGTCTTTTCTTCATTATCTCCCCTTGTGAGGGAACTTGGCCCTTCATTTCAACAATTTAAATTCAAGGATGCTTTGTACCAAGTTTGGTCAAAATTGGCCCAATGATTCTTGAGAAGAAGTCGAAAATGTGATAAGTTTACAAACGGACAGACGACGGACAAAATGTGATCAGAAAAGCTCACTTGAGCCTCGGCTCAGGTGAGCTAAAAAAAAAAACAAATTGTCCAAACTCGAAAATGCCAACTTCTCTCAGTACCATGTTTTCATATTCAACACTACATTTCCCTTAAATCACTTTCATATAGTATAAAAACCTTCTCAAGATTTGTTTAATTTGTTTTATACACATGGCAGACCACTTAGGGTATTTCGATTGATATATATTTTTTGACCGATTTTGTACTGTAAATAATAAATCCCTGAAATATAAAGAAATAGTAGGTTTTCCTTGATGCTTAGATTTGAGACTTTGTTTTGCTTTCTATATAATTCCATACCAAATTTTGCACAAATTTTTAACCTTGTGACAAAATCTTATAAAATTCTCCCACTCTACTAAGTAAACATTATTCAGGTTACTAATTTAAATATATGAGAAATATTGCTGATTTTTGAAAAAAAAAAGTTTTGTGTTATTTATCCTTCAGAAAAGTTTAATCTTTGCCCTGTTGCCGTACAGGGCATCAGTATTTCACACACACACATCCTGTTTCTGTAATATTTGTTTGATGTTAGTAAACTCTTTATCCTCTGTTAACATTAAGTTCCCTTGGTTCCCACAGAAAGAATTTCCATGACAATGTTAAGATGTCTAATGATAATAGCAAAGTTGGTCAAATATTGAAAGTAGATGTAGATGTCTATAATCCATAATCAAATGGCCTTTTCTTTGGACAGATATATAATTTCATAATAAAGCAACCATTTTGTTGACCAGATAAATAACAATTACCTATTCAGCCCCATCGACGGGCCATAATCCCGATTCATAATTCAGATATTGGTAAAAATGTACTGTTTTGTAGATATAAACACTGTACATGAATACTCATACATTCCCCATCTTTAACTCTTTTGTCCATGTTTCTGAGGAATTTCATATTCTCGTCTCATTTTAATAGTAAAAGTTTCTACTCATAAAGGAAGTGAGGAAATTTGCAAACATATTTACAGTAATACATGTACTTCAAAACTTCCTCTTGAATGGAAAAACCTACCTGTTCATTAGCTCATCTCAAAATAAAAAAAACAACATGTACCAACTTTGAAATTTATTTAATAATTTTGCAACAAACACAATTGTTATATCAATATGAACTGAATGTCTCAATGGTCCTTCTGTTGCATCAAAACTGGAAACTTGTCGAAGTCTGTCTTTAATTCCCACTTTTATCACACTGTGTCCAATAATAAAACTAATTCCTAAACTTTTTTCACATCATGCTAACTTTGAAAATAATGTTTTCGACACCTGCACAAAAGAGAGAAAAGAAAATTATAAACATTATTTTTATTTGTAAACAACTCTGACTCTTTGTATGTTACACATCTGCATCTCAACATCAAATTATCTTACATCTATTCATTCGTATAATCCTTATTCAGCCACTGAATACATTTATTTATCAATTACTTTATATTGGAAAAAAATCTCATATATCAATCATTTTGATTGACAGAAAGCAGGAATTATTCAATAGTTTAGAAATAATTATTGTTGGCCATTTCTATTTCTCTCTTATGTCTCCTAGGATATAATTTATATGTTCAGTTGCATATCTACAAATAGGACTCAAAAAATAAAGAAACAGAATTTAAACTTTATCTATGAATTCAAACTTTAAAACAAATCACTCACACTTAAGGAAACAAATTTTAATATCCCCTCTTTTTATTAAGTGAATAATCAAAATTGTTTTATTTAAAGATATTATAATTATAAAAAGTTAGACATTTGCTATTGATGACAATGTTCATTGTATATCAAAGAGCCACTCAGTCCTTTTTTTATTCTTGACTCCAGTTTTGCTTATCAATCTAAAAGCTGGGACATTGTCACAAGATAATTACTTAAAAAAAGACATTACTTAACAATAGGAAAAATAATACTTAACATTTGACATTTTCATATCATATTTTATTTCAGTTGTGTAATTTACAGCATTTTCGTGATTGTAACTTTATTTCATAGTACACAAAAACAAATATTTTTTTCTCTTTCATTTTTACTGATTCTTATTACCTACAGTATGAACATCTTTTCATTCATTTTATAAATACAAGTGTATATCCCTGATTACTATACTTACACAGTGGTCTACACAATGTACAAAATCTATCAATTCTTCTTCACAAGTCTCCTCCTCGATGGCGGGTTTTACTGCTACTCTCTCATTACATTTATCCAGTATCTCCTTGAATTCTGCACATTTAGGTTTCGCAGCACACTCCTCTTGTAATACTGTCTGAGGATCCTATCAAAGGAATATTTATCTTGTCAATGTAGTTTTCAAAACATTTAATATTTTATTTAGTATTTCAATACTAAAAATACAAACAAAATGATTCTAGATATAAAGTCATGAACCTAGCATAAACTAAGATTTACTCTAAAACTTAATCTAACCAAACAAATACATGTATTGCCTTGGTTCCTTTAGGCCAAAAAAAATAATACTCTTGTTTCCTGTTACCAGCAAAAAAAAAAAAATAGGGTAGGTAGGTAGGAAAATAATTTTATTTTATTTTATTACTACATGACTGATGAACTACAAAACCATTGAATTAAAAATGTCATAGCAAGGTCAATATTATCTAGATTTCAAAATGAAATTCCATGTCTTTTCATGCACAACTCAAGTGGAATTTTATGAAAGTCCACATTTTAAACATACATGTATATTTCATGTAATACAATTTGAATATACATGTATATATATATTTTTCACTTTTGGAACATGAAATTCCTGCAATTTTGAATTTTTTCCCAAAAAGCTAACAAGAGGTCCATGGGCCACATCGCTCACCTGAGAAGCTTTGACCATGCTGTTCTTTACCAGATTCCCCCTTTGTAATACCTATTGTGACCCCCACCCTACTCCAAGGGTCATAATTTGAACAATTTAAAATCTACACTATGGATGCTTCCACATAAGTTTCAGCTTTTCTGGCTCAGTGGTTCTTGAGAAGAAGATTTTCAAAGATTTTTCCTATATATTTCTATGTAAAACTTGGATTCCCTATT